TTCCTTCCTTCCTTCCTTCCTTCCTTCCTTCCTTCCTTCTTTCTTTCTTTCTTTCTTTCTTTCTTTCTTTCTTTCTTTTTCTTGTTTTTTTTTTTTTTTTAATATACACCTGGCTCTTTTATGAGCACTGGGAATCAAACTTGGGTCCACAGTATTTGCATGGCAAACACTTTACCTACTGGGCCATCAATCTTGGCCCAGGATGAGGTCTTTATCTGTTTTGTCCCAGGGTCCCGAGGCAGTGCAGGATAAATTTTATGTTCATTAAATATTGATGTCACTGGAATGGCCCCACAGACCTGGTGTTGCAGAACTTTATTAAAAACAGTGGTAATATAGTCATATAGTCAGGGTCTATTCTTTCCTGTGAGAAAGAAAAAAAGCTTTTGTGAGGGAATCAGGACTTGATAGGCTACCATAGGGAATTTTCTCTTAACGATTTCCTTGTTATTCATTCATTCGTTCGTTCTCATTCATTAATTCATTCAGAGGCACCGTGTTTCACTCCTAGAATAAGGAAATAAAGGAATGTCGTCATTCTGGACTTCAGTGTTCTTATGTTTATGTAGGAAGTTGAACTAGAATTATCTCTGAAGAGGGCTAGTGTGAGAGTAAGGATCATTTTTCTCACGTCTCCAGGCTCATTCTTGAGACCAAAGCAGCCAGATGTAGGAAGAAATTGTACTACACAGCTCTCATTGATTCTGGGGCCAGGCTCTCCCCTGGGAAGGGCTCAGGTCACAAAGAAACACTCCTTGTGCCCATGAAACCTGCAATTGGAAGTGTATCCCCCAGGCGATGAACAGTGGTTTTATTGTCAGCCCCTCTACTTGCTGTGTAGGTAATGATAGATCTCTGCCATTTCCCCACAGGCCTCTCAGGCTGTTGGTGACAGTGATACAGACATCTGGGGGTGCAGGAGGAGGAAGATACCTTTGTTTTCCCAGCAGGCAGCTGCTGATCCTGCATATTAGGAACATGTCCCTCTGGGATCTCAGGGTAGAGCCGCTTATTTCTGGGAGCAAAAATATTTCAGACATCATCAAACTGAATAGCATGGAATTGGTCCAGCTGCCCTAACCAGCCAGGGATTGTGTCACAGATCACTCAGTTGTGGTTCCTGCCCTTGGTTTTCCCCTAGCCCTGTGATTCCTGGGAGGAAGAAGGTTGTTTTATAATTCTTTATTTAGAACTAGCACAAAGGTACCCATGCTACAAATCCTGTGACTATTGATACACAGGCTCATAGTGAATCTTCCTAGCTATCTTAATCCAATCAAAAATTCCTTGAAGGAATAATACACATCAGTTGAATTGGCATAGAAACATGGAAATAGTAGTCAATGGAAATGCTGTTAAATGCCATGAACTGATATTGAATAGTCACTGGGATAACCATGCATGGATGCTGTTGTGTGCATGCATTATTCCCATAAGATTTTATGCCCATGCAGATGTTATCACTTCTCTGAAAATCTGTATCCCATAAGTTCCCCCAACAAATGTCCTAAACACTTTTCTGGTTGTCTCCATTCCCTGGGCTTCATTAGCCCCTCTCTCCTTTCTGGAATGTTCCCCACAGGCCTCTCCTAATCATAGCTGCTGTTTCTAATTTTTTGAAGGCTTACCTTAATTTTCATTTATCTTTTCTCAAAGCTGTCTTTTACCATCCCAGATCTCAGAAGGCTCAACTATACATGACAAGCTTGGTTTGTGCTAAGTCATGGTCTTTCCCCATCTATTTATCTTGCATTGCTAACCTTAGTCTTTAGTCACAATTTTATGTTGTCATCTAATTGGGCAAAATTGGAGACTTATCCTGTATAGTTCTTTATCCCAAGATCCCAGCACAGAACCGTAATACATATAACCTCTAATACAGGCCAAATTCCTACCCAAATATGATACTTGTGGCATGTGTAAATTATCTCTGTTATGCAGATGGGGGAAAGGGGATTCGTTTTGATAAGCAGAATAAGGTCACACAACTGCTAATTTCAGGGTGGGATTTGAAATGGGCTTTGAATTTTTCTTTTCTATTTGTTTGAATTATTTTGGCTCTTAAATTTTATTTATTGACTTGCACTGGTAATACATGCATATAGAAAAAAAATTCTAAAGGTTCTAGCTCTTTCTCTATTCTTCCACACCTTCTTGGTAACTTAATACTTGTTTTTTCTCAAAATGACCTTTTTTTTTTCCTTTAAGACGTCAACTAACTATTCTGCTATTTGCTTTTCTGTTAGTGAATCCATCACAAAATCTTGGGACAAGTTTTCCTACCATTCTTTCTCACTTGTCTCAGCTAATTGATCAAGGTCAGTTCATACCTCAAAGGACTTCAAAACTGAACTTGCCTTGTGCCCATGCAAGTATAATCACCACTCTGCAAATCTATATCCCACGAGTCCATTCTCACTGTTCTTCTGATCCAACCCTCACTCCCTACCAAATGACTGCAGCCTGCCTGCCCTGCAAGCCTCAAGTCCTTCTCCCCCTTCCAATTCATGTCATATAGAAACCTTACAGGGAATCCTTCTACTCTCTGAGTCCTTAGCCCACAGATTTCTTTTTTTTTTTTGACAGAATCTTCATAGTCCTAGCCCACCTGGCGGTCACTGTGTGAACCAGGCTGGCCTCGATCTTACAATTCTTAATTATTTTATTAGTCTATCTAGTTGGTTTTGGTTATCTCAAGAAACCTTTCTTGCTGTTGTTTGTTTATGGCACTGAGGACAGAAGTTAGGGCCTTGGGCATGCTAGGCAAGTACTCTGCTATGGAGTCATATCTCCAGCCCTTGGTTTAGTTCAGGCTGGCTTCAGACTTGCTGTTTATCTTCCTGCCTCTGGTTCTTGAGTGCAGGAATTATAGATGTGAGCCACTGTGCTGGTTATTTGTTTTGTTTTGTTTTGTTTTTGTTTTTTGTCAATGTGACACAAACTCTACAGTCACCTGGGAAGGAACAGGGAGCCTCAGTTGAGGAATTTCCTCCATCAGACTGGCCTGTGGGCCTGTCTGTGGGGCATTTTCTTGATGACTGGTTGATATAGGAGGGCCCAGCCCACTGCGGGCAGTGGCTTCCCTCAGCAGGTGGGACTGGGTTGTATAAGAAAAGTGGCTGAGCAAGCCAGGGAAGCAAGCCAGCAAACAATATTCCTCCATGGGGTCTGCTTTAGTTTCTGCCTCCAGGTTCCTACCTTGAGTTCCTGTACTAAATTCCCTCAGTGGTGGCCTTTCACTTGGAAGAGTAAGATGAAATAAATCCTTTCTTCTCCAAGTTGATTTTTGTAGTGGCTTTTATCACAGCAACAGAAAGCTAACTAGAATGGCAACAGTGGTTCATTTCACAGCCGTAACATTTTTTTATTTTGTGTATGAGCACTATACCTGCACGTATGTAAGTGCACCTGTATTGTGCAATGTCTGTGGAGGACAGAAGAGGGCATTGGATCCCCTGGAATTGGAGTTACAGTTGTTAGCTGCCATGTGGATGCTGGGATTTGAACCCGGGTTCAAGAACAGCCAGTGCTCTTAACCACTGAACCCTCTCTCCAGTCCCCATTCACAGCTTTTTAATAATGACTTTAAATTCATAAAATAAATCTCACAGGATTATAAAGCAAACTATATTGAAGTAGACATCGAACTATTGAAAAAGCAAATTTTGATACAGTCACCTATGTGATACCTTCCTAATACATTAAATAGCAAATACCTCCCATTAGGTATAGTAACTGATACCAACATTTCAGAGTAATAAATGACCCCAAATAATATTTTGAGGTACTCCCAGAATCTGTGATGTGTTAGGAAGATAGTCATGATTCATTTTTTGATGAGTCACAGGTGCTTCTGATATTAGCATGTTACCTGTATTCCTCAGGAAAGGCAATGCCAAATTTAAATTTGAAGCTGATGAAAATGAAGTGTTTGGGGCTGGAGAGATGGCTCAGCAGTTAAGAACACTGGTTGTTCTTGCGGAAGACCCAGGTTCGACTCCCAGCACTCACGTGGCCGCTAACAACTGTCCGTAACTACAGTCCCAGGGGATCCAACAGCCTCTTCTGACCTCCACGGGCATTGCATGACACAGGTGCATTTACCTACATATGTGTATGCATTACATGGATACACATAAAATAAAAATAATAAATAAAAATTTAAAAAAAGAAAATGAAATGTTAATTTTTGTCCCTTTGTCTTGGATCCCAGGTAACATGACTTCTCTTCCTTAGTGTGAATCCTAAGACCATGTGGCCTACTTTCTGGTTCCCTGGTAACTTTTAAGCTTTGGGTCGATCCTCTGTGTAGATTCTACTCTGTACCATACAGAGAGAAAACATGTCTAGCCTGATCTTGCATCTCTGTTTTCTTTCCTCTGTGCAGGTAGAAGAAGGATGGTGGGAAGGTGTTCTCAATGGGAAGACTGGAATGTTCCCTTCCAACTTCATCAAGGAGCTTTCAGGGGAGTCGGATGAGCTTGGCATTTCCCAGGATGAGCAACTGTCCAAGTCAAGTAAGGAAGTCCACCCCACTAAACAGGAAAGGATTGGGGAAAATAGTGGGCTCTATCCTAGCCCCCATTCTGTACCTTTGTCCTAGGCCGAAAGACTATGGCAAAAGCTTGTGGGTATTTTTTTGGCTAGACTACCTTAACCCACTGTGATTTAGTAAGTTTTTCACTGTAAAGATGTGACCTATAGCCATACATTCATTCTATCCTTTGCTAGATAAGTGACTGCCAGCTCTCAGCCATGGTAGTACTGTGTCATGGGTAGTACTTATTGCTGTACCTCCATATATTTCTAGAATGTCATTTACCATTGAGTTCATAATTACTTTTTAAGTGAACCCAGTGAGACTGTCAGTATTTCCCAGTGTCCCTTGAAGAACTTGGAGAAAAATAGCAACAATAAAATCACTGGTGGCAAGAAGTGATGTGTGCAAGATAAATGCATGCCATTCCCTTGAAATTATGACAAGATAACCAAGAGTCCACACCCCACCTTGGATGAGGAAGTGGTCCCTTTTGTAATGGTGAGAACGAACTTCAGGTCTTTCTTTCTCCAGGGCCTGAAGGTCTCTCTCCAGCTTCTCTGCTGCCCTTTCCAGCTCATGGAGCAAAAGGTCAGGACCAGGAAGCTTTGTTCTCCCAGTCACTAACTCCCATGTGGGTGTCTGTGTTTATCTTGTGCCATGTTGAGCCTAGGTCATGGGCATGAATGTTGTAGGTGACTTCACCTATGTCATAGTGGTGTGATCCTTACCTGGGCTTGTTGACTTTCCTTCCTGACAAGAGAAGGACACCATAACAATTCTTAAATGTCTTTTTATTTTCCATTTAGAAAAATTTAGCTTAAAACCATTTCCAGAGAAGTACTTAGGCGACTCATTTACTTTGTGTCTCAGCAGTGGCTATGTGTCATACAGTCATGCATAGAAGCAACCGTACTGGCTGGTTGCCTCAGTGACTGCAGCAGGATCCCTTCCTTCTACTGCCAAAACTTTAGACATTTCTACTCTATCTTCGAGTCTAGGATAGGAAAGATTATGGAAGGGTGTTTGGAGCAAGTGAAGTATCTGGGAAACTCCTGTCACCTTCTTTGGGCTAAGGTATGGGAGTTTCCTACTAACATGGCTCAGCTATGAGTAGAGCAGTGAGACTTTGTATTGCTCCCCCCAAGTCCACATTAGAATTTTATTTGCCCTCCAGTCTTCTTTTGTTCACTGGAAAAGTATCATGCCTAGTAATTAGGTCTTATAATAATAGTACTGTACCCCAAGGACATTGTGGATTAAATGTGTTTTTTTTGGGGGGGGGGAAACCAAGGCAGGCATTATAACTTTATTTCCACAAGAAATGAATTATAACTTCCAACAGCCATAATGTGTATAACCACCTCATGCACAGAAGGCCCTCGGTAAATGGTAGCTGTCATTGTTAATCAAGACAGACTGCTGGGACATAATCAGTTAGTGTTCAGCTCCTCAGAAGCTATTCACTTTCTCTTTGATACCATGCCCACTAAAACAGTATGTCTGCATTTGGAAATTACTTTGTAATTCCTTCACTGATGCAGAGATGGAGATTTCAGGACAACCTCTTTGGTAAAGTCTTGACCTTTTGGTGCCCTGCCGTCTTAGCTATACCCTCTCAGAATTGGAAAGTTTAAGAAGAATAGATCCCATAGTTTTGGAACTATTAAAACAAATAGTACCCCACCCCACATTTCAGGTAGCTAATATAGAGAGGTGACCCTGACTAGACTGTCTACTCAAAGCATATGGTGCTGAAGTTTCCGGTACAGGAGGTTTGGACTGAACGGAAGCATTTTCTCAATAGTCTGGCTGTCCTTTACCTGCCCCCAGCACTCAATCAATTATTAGCCTTCTGTTTCAGAAGCAGGAGTGCCCAGTTGTTTCAGGAGCCATGTTTAGTCCATGGGATCTGTTGTTGAGGGCATTTTAAAGTCCTTGGAAAGGCATGATCTCCTAACAAGAATAATTGGTTCTGATAAAAGTAACATGATTTTTGTAATCTTCCTGTGTACAGTAAAGGAAAACAAGGCCTATCTTCCCACCTGCCTGTCTGTATCCATCTATCACAGTTTGCGTTCTATTTCTGTGATAAAACACTCAGAGCAAAACTAACTTAGGGAGGAAAAGGTTTATTTGGTTTACATGTCCTGATCACAGTTCATTCTTGAGGGAAGCCAAGGCAAAAACTCAGGGCAGGAACTGAAGCACAGACTATGGAGAATGCTGTTTACTTAAGGCTTGCTCCTCTGGCCTGTGCTCAGCATGCTTTCTTACATAACCCAGGGCCATCTGCCCAGGGGTGGTACTAGCCACATTCGACTGGTCCCTCCCACATCACTGAACGATCAAGAAAATGCCTCACAGACATGGCCATAGGCCAATCTGATGGAGGCAATAATTCAATTGAGGTTACCTCTTCCCTAGTGTGTCAAGTTGACAACTGAGGCTATCCAACACACCATCTGCCCATCCTTCTTAGTCTTCTCCCTTATCTACTCCTTTTATTCCTCATTCATTCACTCTCTGTTGAACTCCTATTGTTACTAAGATACTCCCTGAGGCCTTGAAGAACTAGAGGCAAATGAGATACAGATAGGGCCCCTGCCATCAATAATTTCACCTTGCAGGAAACGGGTGCCTATCCCCAGAAACTCAGGAAAGTGCCCCAAGAGCTGGCATTTGAGGAAGAAGGCACAGAGGCCAGTCCCATGGTAGTGTGGGGTGGTGTTGGTCAAAAAAGGCTTCATAGAAAAGTAGGCATGAGGCTAATGTCTCTGTTGCTCTTCAAAATGAATCCATCTTTTGAAGGAGAAAAAATAGCATCTCTCAGTGTTATGGCTGAGTTTTCAGTAGCCATTTACACTCTTGATTTGCCTAAGCACGTGATTATGTTAAATGTATATATAATTGGGTCAGATTGCCTCCAGAAATCATGCATATTGATAAGATTTGTTCAAGTAGGACCTTTGGTTTTAGAATCATTTGCTTATTCTCCTGCTCCCCTGAGAACAGTTTTAGGACTTTGGATACGCTTTACTTTATTTGGAAAAATCTCTTTTGTTTTGAAATAATTAAGATTCACAGGAAATTTTAAAAATAAACATGAGCTACACAGGGAGGTCTCACATATACTTCATCCAGTTTTCTTTAGTGATTACATCTCTTATATTTATAGTAAATGCACATTTGCTTCTGTCCTATAGCTGAAAATCAGAAAAGGCATCTGGCTTTTTCTCTGCTATGAGCTCAAATGTGCTTAATCAGAGTCTCTGTTTGACCAGCCTACTTAATAGTCTTTGTAAACTGCAATCCATTTTCCTACAGAGATTGCTTAATAGTACATGACTCTGGAGGTAAGCTAAATCCTAATGTCTGTACCATATTGGTAATTTTTAGAGATCACAGTGACATCATACAAATATGCTTTTAATTTAAGTGCTACCAGACATTAGCATGAAGGTTTTCTTTCTAATTACAGAAAAATCTGTTTCCTGGTATGCAGAGAACATTGTGTACAATGTATCCCTGTAGCTCTTTGTTTTACACATGTATGCAACACACTCCTACCTTTGAATGTATGCGTTCTTAGTTGGTATTTGAATCCTTCCCATTTCTACTTTGGGAAGTGTATCTGAGAAGTTACTGAATTTGGGATCAATGGAGGAATCTGATAGAAGATTGCATTGGCATTGTATTTATTTATTTATTTTTATTTTTTGAGACAAAGTCTCCCTGTAGCCCCAGCTGGCCTAGAACTTGCTATGTAGACCAGGCTGGCTTCCATCTCACAGAGCTCTGCTTGCCTCTGTCTCCCAAGTGCTGGGATTAAAGACATGCATCACCATGCCCAGTCTTGGCATTGAATTTATAAAGAAGTGTGCCATTGCCTACTTGTTACATGGTAGGTGTTTAATAAATGCTTGATGATTCTTTTATTACTTTAAGGAGGCATTTTTAATCTTTGAATGACAGGTAAAAATTGCCAGATTTGTTTTTTGTTAACCCTACTTATTTTTACCTATGACAGTTAGTTATAAAAACCTCTAAAACTTCATAGATCTTTATTCAAGGTGATAGGCTCTGTCATGGACACAATTTTAGCAATCATATGGGTTTATCCATAGTTACATAGTAACAAAAACTTTTTGCTGCATATTTAAGTTTGGAAACATCTTTACCATTCTTGGAACTTGTGAAGCCTTAAAAAGTAGTTTAAAAAACATTTTTATAAATCCTTAGTTATAGACAGTTTCAAACATGGGAAAAAATAACAATAGTAGAAGCCATATGTGGTGGTGCATGCCTCTAATCTCAGTACTGGGGAGGCAGATGCAGGCAGACCTCTGTGAGATCAAGGCCAGACTGGTCTACATAGTGAGTTCCAGGCCAGCTATGGCTACAAGGAGACCTTGTCTCAACAAACAAACAAACAAACAAACAAACACAGAATGAAACAAAACAAACAAATGAATAGCATAATGAATCTCTGTGTCCCTGTCATCCAGTTCAGCAGTTATTAACCTATGACTAGTTTGTTAACATTACAGCCCTGTACACTCCTGCCCATATTATCTTAAAGCATATCCCAGATATTATACAGTGTCACACCTAAATATTTCAGTATGTATCAATGAAAAAGTTTCTTAAAATAACATTATCAGGGCTGGAGAGATAGCTCAACAGTTAAGAACACTGGTTCTTGCAGAAGACTTGGGTGTAAATCCCAGCACCCACATGGCAGCTAACAACTGTCCGTAACTCTAGTTCCAGGGGAACCGGCAGCCCCTTCTGTCCTCTGCAGGCATTGCACGACATGGGTGTACTTACCTACTTGCAGGCAATACACTCATACACATAAAATAAAAATAATAAAATATTAAAAAATAACATTATCACATGCATTCAGAATGGCAGTGACCCCTCACAGAAATTAAACTCAGTGTTTACTTTCCTTTAATAATCTTTTTTGAATGGAACTTGTTGATGTGAATCTGTATGTAAATACGGATATATAGTGATGAGTTGACATGTTTCAAATCTGGAGTTTTCTCCTTCGTAGCTCCTTCTGTGCAATATTTTTGCCAAATAAGCTAAAATTCTTTATCCAGTAGTTTCTCATCATCTGGCTTGTTATGGTTTCCTCTCTTCTGTGTCATTTAGTCTGTAGTCTATACATTGATAATTAGATCTAGGGACATGAGTAGATGTATATCTTCCTAGGTGGTGGTACTTAGATGGTCCACCTGGAGGCTTATAAAATCTATCTTTTTTTTTTTTTTTTTTAATTTAGAAGCCATTGATTATCACCCAGACCTAGTTACTCAGAGTTTGTAGAGGGGTAGCAATCAAGTTTTTGTTTCAAAGAATGAAATAAGTTCCCACATGCCACATCATAAGTCATATAACACACATTTAAAAAGTGTTTTGCAAATTTGGCTGTTCAAAAACAGGCGATAAAAATATTTGCATCAGTTGTGCAGGCAGACTCTTAGGATATTAAGGGTGAATAGGAATTTTGATATCATTTAGCTTGGTAACCCATGACAGTACTAATGCTCAATGTGATTAAGTTCCAACCGTGACCTGGCTTTTGAGTTAGAAGGCCAAAGTGGCATGCAGGTCTTTTGTACACATTTTGGTGTCACCTCCATTATGTAAATGGGCCAACTTCTCATGGTAATTGGCACATTTCAAACCTGACTAAAGTTGAGTTTATTCTTACCATGACCACAAGTGATAGTTAATTAATTGCCTTTTAATTTATAATTATACATGTGCTGCCATTGACTAAATAATGTGAAATGGAGCTAATCGTCAAATGTTATAATCACAGATTATCCTTACTGTATGAGGTATTTGGACTAAGTGGCAAAAAAATTCATATATGACTTCTGTTCAATTTCACTTTCATTTGTGTTTCACTTCATATTTAAATATATATTTGCCTTCCATTTTAAACATTTTTATATTGATTTCAAGTAATGGTTGTAACATTAAAATTATTCCTTTAAAAAAAATTCCATGGACTGGGGATGTAGGTTAGTTTGTAGAGTGCTTGTCAAACATGCAGGAAGCCCTGGGTTTGATGCCCAGCACTGCATAAGCTGGGTGTGTTGGTGCATAATCCCAGTACCTAGGAGGTGAAGGCAGGAAGATCAGAAATTCAAGGTCATCTTCAGCTATATAGAGAGTTTGAGACCAGCCCAAGATACAGGAGACCTGGTCATGTATCTTTCTATACCCAGAGTTTTCAATTTCAACTGAACTTCTCATTTTCCTAATTCCTTATTTCAAAAGTTTAGATTCTCATACTTTGGTGACATGTCAAGCTAAGATAAGGTAAGCTAAGAGGGCTGTTCAGAAAGCACAGCAAGCCACTTCCATGATACCAAAATATTTTGAAATTTTTCGTTCTGTGGTATCACTAGACCTTTTTCTTTTAAGATATTTGGTGGCATTGGTTTTGTGTTTAATGAATGTTCTGTTGGCAGCAAAGAACAGTTAACCAATTGCTAAAACAGAATTTCATGCAGTTAGATGTCAGCAGAAGCATATGATTTTGTGTTTGAATTTTAAAATTCTTCCCCTCTATAGTGTTCGCTGCCTTCAAGAACTGATATTTAATGATAATAATAAAGTAATTCCCTCAGTAAGCTAAATATCACTCATATGCATGATCTTTCCATTTGCCTATCTCTTGTGCTCCTCAGATAGAATACCCATCTATGCTTATCCAGCCCTAGTCCAGGCTATACCTCTGATTGCCTTGCTGCCAGTGGACAGTGGAACTTTGCACATAGACTTGACCAACTATACTGTTCAGAGATATCAAGGTCACAGTCTGTCTACTGCTGTGATTTTCAGACTTGGTCCTGTGGCAGAACACATGAAAGTTCTGCTGTACTCAGAGGAGCATCATTGGAATATTGACCTTTTTTCTCTTATATTTTTTCTCACATTGAAGTAACTACTGCTATTCATTTTTAGAGGGGCCTGTCTCAGAAAACTGCTATATTCTTTAGGAATAATGTTGACATCATCCCTGAAGTTAGTAGAGTAAAAGTTTGCCAGGAGTGATGGAGCACACCTTTAGTCTCAGCACTCAGGAGACAGAGGCAGGTGGATCTCTGTGAGTTTAAGGCCAGCCTGGTATACATAGCAAATCCATGCCAGCCAGGGCTACAAAGTGAGACCCTTTCTCCAAACAAAACAAAGTGAAAACTAGCCACTAATTTGTTCATTTGGCATTGATGTCCTCAAGAACTATATATTTAACAAGAATATTTTAAAAACTTTCTTTGCTTCCCTAAATTGTTCTTATATAGCTAGTGGTGTGATGATGATGATGATGATGATGATGATGATGATGATGATTAGAGACATGATCTCACTTTGTATATCAGGCTGGCCTGGAACTCAGTATGTAGCCCAAACTGGTTGTAGACATAAGATCCTCCTGCTTCAGCTTCCTGAGTAACTGGGGTTACCTATGTGTACCACTTGGGCTCACACCTAGTCAGTTCTAGTCAAATGCAGCATGTATGCCAAAAAGGGCAGACTTTGAAAGTAGGGTGTATCACCATGTCTATAGCACATGGAAACTGCAAATATCTCATTCCATTTAAGGTGGGCTGATCATTCATAATTTACTTCATGTATTAGGAATAAGCCCAGAAGCTGACATGACAGTTCCTTTTAGCGTTACTAATCTGATGTGGAGTATGTGGAAGGAATGAGGCAGGTTGCTATTGCCCCTCTACGCTACTCTTTCGTAACTGTAGCGTACTCTTTACATCCCCCACATTAACTGAGAAAGTTTATGTCAGCAGGGCATGCTTGCTCACGCCTTTAGTCTCAGCACTTGAGAGGCAGAGGCAGGCAGATCTCTGTGAGTTCAAGGCCAGCCTGGTTTACATAGTGAGTTCCAGGTCAGCTGGGGCTACAGGGAGACCCTGTCTCAAAAAGACCAAAAAAAAAAAAAAGTTATGTGTAACTCCTTGCTAGATTATTTAATTCACAAGCCATAACAGCTTATTTCTTACAATAATGCATTTATTAATTCAGATTGCCTTTAGCAAATAATTTTTTCTGGCGATGATACCCTCTGTAGTGTGTGTGTGTGTGTGTGTGTGTGTGTGTGTGTGTTGGGGAGGTGGGTGGGTATGCACTTAAATTAGGGCAGTATGTGTGCATTCTGTTTACCTATGTTTCCAGAGATATTTGGGCTTTAGCCATGTGTTCAATCTTATGATATTGTAATAAAAATGACATTTGAAGTTGGATGAGTCCTATGTCCTCATGCTTCAGTACAATCTCATGATTGATAAGCAAAACCTCAATTAAGATGTTTTAAGAAATAGTGTTTTTGAGGGTCTAAAGAGAACCTTCTTCGTAGTGGTATGGATGCCTTTGTTTCAAATCTCATTAGTAAAGCCTCCTCTCTAGTTCATTAAGATATTACCTTGCTTAAAGGTACTGAGACTAACATATCTTTTATTTACTCATTTTTGTGGTGCTGGGATCAAACCCAGGGCCGTCTGCATGCTTAGCAAGTATTTTATCACTGATGCACAGCCCCTGACAGATCTTTTAAGGAAAATTTGTCTTGTTTAGAATATTGGGGTTTAAATATCAATTTTTACCACATGAGGTTCTAAGGAATAATAGATAAAGATTAAACGGTCAATTATGTTTTGTGCTTAGGTCATCATCTCTGAAGAGAAGACACTGCTGCCCAGTTAGTTAATGAAGGAATCTCATGAATTGGATTCCCTCCTATTAATTGAGGTTTTTCTACTCTTGTTAAAATGTTTTAACTGGGCATAATGAATATGCCAGTTATTTCAGAGGCAAGCCCTGAATCTGGGTGCCATTTCCATTGTAGTTGTATGGGGACTTGGGGCTCATTCTGTAATTTTCTTAAACTCTGCCTAATGGTCTTTAATTCTATGGATGAAGCTCTTACAGAGGATTCATTAAAGGCAAGTTCAGTTAAAGACTCTTCCTCTTCCTTCTTTTGCCATCATTTGCTCCTCCCTGCTCCCTCTCTTGTTTTTCTCTCCCCTTCTCTTCTGTCATTCACTGTCAGGAAAGACTACCTTTGAAGGGACAATTCTGTACCGAGCTGCACCGGGAAAGACGGAGGGCCACAGACGCTATTACAGTGAGTGACCTTAACAGCAGGAGGCAATTGTAAAGATAAGATCTGGGTACTTGTGGGTTTTGACGCAGCTGCACTTTTCTGAGCTGCTTCAGCTTGTGCCAAGTGTCTGTGACTTTCTGAACCAAGGACATGGACTTATTTGCCTACAGTAAGTGTCATTTCCTTGGTGTGTGCTACAAGAGCTTTTCTACTACCAGCCCCTGGCGCTTTCTTGTTTGCTTTCTGCCTCTCTCATGTGTGTGACATGTGTGCATGAGCCATGTGTACAGAGAAGGAAGCAGTAGCAACTGTCATGGCGGTGGAAGATGGCTTCTGGTGGAGACATCAACCTCTCATAGTTACTGCTTTTGCTAGGTGTGTCATTCATCATTGTGTGGTTCAAAGAAATAAAATGTTGGCATGGAAGTCCATGCCAGATATGGTGTTTGGCTTTGCTCATTCAGCTAATTACCACATGGCAGACTTCTTTTGGCAGCACCCATGTGCAGCCTATTGTGTTATAAAATAAGGGTGCCAAAAGTTGAAGGGAAGGAAATGAAGGAGATGAATGAATTAATTTCAGGATGCCCTTAGAATGGTTCCCACTACATCATAAACACTACACATGTGTGTATCAAATTAAAAACAAACGAGAATGACTTCAATCCTGATGAGTTGGGTAAATTACAAAAAGTGGACAGCTATGGGGATGGTGGAAGCAAATTTTCAGAGGCTTTTTGTCTCTTTTTACCTTGAGGAAAGAGCATACACCTTAGGGCACATAGACACATATCCATCCATATATGCACATATGTAGGCGTGCAATGAAAGCAAAGGTTCAGACACGAACACCAGAGCAGTCCTTCTCAAATTGTGAGTGAAGTTTATGTTTCATTCTATTCCACTCTGAACAGATGTACGGACCTACTGCATATGACTCAATGTGCAGTGTACTTCCTTTGCTCCCTGAGGGGATATGGCAGCCCCTGGATTGGCCTCTGGCCAATTTACCTCAGTGCCTTCCCCTGGACATGTGTCTAGACACCAGTCCACACTGCCAAAATGCTGCAGTCATTTCCAAACCCATTTACCTTTTGCATTTACCTCATCATAGACCCGTAATGAGATCTTAGTGGCCTGGCTGCCGTCTACTGTCCACTCCGTACGTTGCTCTGTCTGAGTGTCATCTAGCATTCTGAGTAAGGCATGGATGGGACCGTTTTATGGACTAATAAGCATAATGGGCACAACTAGCTCAAGATGTAGCACCAAACAGGTGTGAAAAATAAAGTTACCTTTCTTCCCTTCCAAAGGGAAGGAACTAGATACTGAGTAATTTCATCAATGCAAATATTTAGCTGTATAATTTGCATACTTAAACATGACAGAACCAGGCTGCCAGAATTTCTGGAAGAAAAATCTACTGTGTGTTTTTTTCCCAGGCCATGCTCGTGTGGCTGAGTGACCATGTAGCCTCTCTCTGTGTAATAAGAGTATTTCTCACAAGGACTAATATAAAGTTATTAAGATGTACCTGAAGACAGAAAATCCCTAAAAGTGGAAACTTGGTGAAATTAGGATGGCTCTGGTGACAAGATTTTGGCTGTAGCTAATGGCGAATCATAGAAGAACCCGTGGAATTACTGCCTCTGAAGGACTAAAACAGATGGGCTCCAGTTCATTTGCCCTGCTGCCTTCTGCTGCTGCTGCTGGTGGTAGTGGTGGTGGTGAGAGGTGATGGTGGTTTCTTTGCACTATTCCTTTACTTCACCCTCAAATGGTTCTTTCCAAACATAAAAAGAATATGCAAAGCCATTTATCACATAGAAAGGATCCATACAGCAAAATAAGAACATGTTAAAGGGGAAATGACATAATATTTAGACTCCCAAATTATATCTCCAGCAGGGTTATTTCCAGAAACAATGAACAGATAAACACACGAATGGATAGCTAATCCAGGGGTTTTTCTATGTTTGCATATTCAATCCAGTCCTATGAATTGCAGCCACCCCCTCCTTGTTCTGTCCTCTGTTCCTGCTAGCAAATTCTGTGCTTTAGTTAATTAAAATATGCACCAGGGATCTTCCTTCTCCCCTACCCTTTTGGCTTAGAAATATCACTTTATGGAAACCGGTAGCAGCAACACAGGAAACCATTGTTCTAAGGATTTGATGTTGAAATTTGTTAGCAATTTATAATGACCTTTCTATATTTTATCTGTTTTCATTTAACAGTTTCTTCCTGCACTGAGACTTCCTCACTTGAATGACATCAACATTTTATGATATTTTATGTGAGCAATTATTTGGTGTATCATTCGTAAGGACTAGGAAGCCACAGGAAGCTAATGTAGGATCCGCCAGTAATGAGAAATTTGATGACATCCTTTCATCGTGAGGGCATTGTTATGATCATGAAATACGTAGTAAATGGTCAGAAGCTATCCTATACATCTAGAACCTCAGAGATACAGTTTGATGGCAGAACTTAGTATTCCATAAAATAGCCTTGGAATCCTGCCCTTTGATGGCATAACTGATGTCCTGACCATCAAAGGAAGAATGTACACTCAGAAATGAAGTAGACACAAACAGGCTCTTCCTTTTGGGAACATGAGTGTGGGCAGCACATAGGGAAGAATAATCAGGGGAGGTAAGTGTTCATATTGTCTTGCTGACAACTCTCTTATACCTCCCAACACATGGCACAGGAGGTCAAAGGAAGAGTGTCATGTCCCCAGTGTTTTCTTTGCAGAGGAATTTGGCTTTGGGTAGATAATGGTGTTAGAGGAGGGAGGAAGAGCCATAGGCTGAGGATTCTGGCCTTTGAGAGAACAGCTTTCTTTCTCTCTTTAACAAACACCATCATCTTGCAAGTGAAACCATTTTAATGTCAAGCTTGGTTTAATGCTTTCCTAGAGAAACATGTCTGCATGCATTTATTCCTTGTGAAGCCATCCAAAGAGATTTAATTCTTTGGCAGTCATAATTTTGTGTGGTTTAATTGCTAATTTGTTTAAATCGCTTTTAGCTTTACAGTTTCCCTTTAGGAAATGCTACTTTCATTGCTAATTGTTAATCGACATGAGTCAGAGAGTTGGGAGGTATAGTATGTGGTACTGACTGAGTGGGGGGAGGTGAGGAGTGGGCATGGGCAAACAAATTTGGATCATAACCAGCCTCTGGCTGAAACGGGGTGAAATGTCACATATGCAAAGAGATTGGTTTGAAATTAGATTTTCTGAAAAGTTATTTTGATTCACTGCTTAAAATTAAAGTCTGCTGGTAAGACAGACCAACCAAAACTCAGAGACAGCCAAAGTCAGCATACTCAACACCCAGAGCACAAAAGCTTAGTCACACTTTCAGAGGTTGCTCCTGGCCAGCTGTGAAGTTCTTCTTTGGGGGCTCTGGCTGATTTCTGAGCTCTTTCTCTCCCCATCCCCCCTTTTGACAGGCTTAAGGGAAACCACAGGCTCCGAGAGCGATGGAGGTGACTCAAGCAGTACCAAGTCTGAAGGTGCCAATGGGACAGTGGCAACTGCAGCCATCCAGCCCAAGAAAGTTAAAGGAGTGGGCTTCGGAGATATTTTCAAAGACAAACCAATCAAACTGAGACCAAGATCAATTGAAGTAGAAAATGACTTCCTGCCGGTAGAAAAGGTATGTTGGACAGTTCCTGTTTGATTTCATTGTAATGTGGAATATCCAAAAATTACATTGTAGGCTTTGACTTCAGAGGATTCTGGTGTCTCTTGGGGCTTTGGTGTGCCTGCCTTTTGCCATCCCTCTTTTGAGCTCTCGCTCTCCTTCCCTGCAGGAATGGCTTCCCTGATACTTACTTTCTTACCAATTTCCTCTTGTGTCAGTCAGCTTTCTGTCACTATAACAAAATATAGCTTGAGATAACTTACTAAAGAAAAGATTTATTTTGGCTCACAGTTTTGGAGCTTCCAGTCCATAATGCCCCTTAGCTTTGGGCCTGTGGTAAGACAAAATGGCTCACCTTATGGTTTATCAACAGAGAGAGGGGAAAGTGCTGCAATCCTATAATCCCCTTTAAGGACACATGGTCAGTGACCTAAGGGCCACATATTGGATCTCACTAGTACTACCCTGGGGACCAAGCCTTCACTACACAGATTTCTGGAGAATATTTGTAATATATATATATATATAATATTATACACACACATATATATATATATCCTCTCTAGGGAATGTTTCTCAGGATGACTTATCAAATGGTCCAGGACTTCTCCATCTCCCTTTCAGAAAAGCCATACTTGGATCCAGCCAAACATATGACCCTCGCACTGACAGCTTTCAGACACCACAAAAACTATCTAATACTTTCTGCTTGAGTGTATTGACTGTGCTTCTGCAGTGGAGAGAAGCAAGTGTGTGGATTTTTCTCATAAGAGTTAGGTGAAGACAATTTCCAACTGATGAAAGGAGTCTCCTGTGGGTGTCAATGATGGAGATAGCCTGTGTTCTGACTCCCTGGGTTGCTCCCATCAGGAAGCTGGTTGTTTTCTTCTGCCTCTGGTTCTAGGTTGGTGAGAGGCAGACAGCATGTTGCTGCTGAGTACGCGGTTGCTATGGCAACACACCCAGAGCCATAGCTCTGTGGCTGCTGCTGACGTCTACTGTGGTACACTTCTGAGCATCATAGCTTTGCTTAGGAGTTGATAAATACTGTGGAATTTTCCAAATTATAATAAGCTACACTCGTGCTGTGCTTAAAGAATATTTGTTAATTTGATTTACTGTTAAGATTTTTGCCTCAATGTTTATGCCAGCAGGTTTGGGGGATGGGGCATTGGCAACGTTTGTAATTCAGGTTTATCAGGGGCTTGTGTTTTTCATTTTTCAGTGTGGGGAAAATTTAAAGGTGTGTCTTCTTTGACAGCTGTAGAACCTGCACCATCCACCCTACCCCTAGTCACCTTGCCCAGTGCCAACATACATTAGAAATAGCTTTGAAAGAGGGAACTTTTTGGATTTTTAGTTCTTTAGAGAAAAGGCATAGGGGAAGAAATTCGACTGCTTCACTTAAACTCTTCCTTTGTTGAAGCTTCTCTGAACAAGCATCGTTCCTTTCAGTAACTGACATATGATGTGGCTCCAGATCTGAAAACTATGTAGTTCGTGTCTAAACTTGGGAGCACACTTCTGTTTCCCATGGTCACATTCAGATTCCTGGAAGTATCCATAAAAGAATGAATTCCCACCTGAAGAAGGAACAGTGCATGGAGGTTTTGGTTTTTGTTTTTTTTTTCAGTTTTATTCAAGTATTTAGAAAGAATACAATCATTGATTTGTTCAAGATAACCTGGTGTGTGTGTGTGTGTGTGTGTGTGTGTGTGAGAGAGAGAGAGAGAGAGAGAGAGAGAGAGAGAGACAGAGACAGAGACAGAGACAGAGACAGAGAGAGTCAGCCATGTGGAGAAACCTGAGGTTGATTTCAGGAATCTTCTTCATTGATGGCTACTGTGTTCATTGTGGCGGGGTCTCTCAGTCAAACCCAGAGCTCACAGATATGATTCATCTCATGACCCAGCTTACTCCAGGGATCCAGTCTTTGCCTTCTGGGGCTGGAATTACAGGAGAGTGGCTATGCCCACCCTTCATTTTCATGGGTTCTGGGGATTCTAAGTCCTGTCCTCTTGTTTATGTGGCAAGCACTTCAACTGCTGAGCCATCTCCCTGCCCCTGTTTATTTATTCTTGAGATGAGATCTTACTGTGTGTCCTTGAACACCTGGACTCAAGCAACTGCACCAGCCTCCTAAGTACTAGGACTATTAGGTGCATGCCACTGCACCGTGCTACTCCCAAGTTTGTGTCTCAGCACACTTCTTCCCAGAACCATGTAACTTTATACTTACCTCTGTACTTCATCATCTCCATTTAGAGATTTTAAATTTTCTATTAGTTTATTCAAATAACAACTCCTCTCACAACTTTCTGTTTTTCAGTTGAAGCTAGTGCTATCTCTCTCTCCTTTCTTAGAGCAGGACCCCTGGGATTATGCCTGATTGATCAGGAAACCACATCACTGTTGCCTCCAAATTGTGTTGAGTATCCATCTACCTGTGTTTCATCATTTTAATAGGGCTTTCTGCTGCTTCTCACTGATGCACACTGTGTACTTGGAATGGTGCGTGGCACGCTAGAAATTGTGGAATATATTAACATAATAATATTGACAATATTAACTTTTTTTAGTTAACATACATCTTTAGGATGAGGGAGCAGGATGGAACAGTAGAGCATGTCTGTAGTTGAAAATGTAGCAATAGTGTGATTAATCTTTGTGAAACAAAGTTAGTACATTGTTAGTGGTGATGTGACTCATTAACTTCATCAAAGTTATGTAGTGTGTGTGTGTGTGTGTGTGTGTGTGTGTGTGTGTGTGTGTGCATGCACACAGGTATGTGCATCCTGACTCCTGATTTGGTACAAAATAAAGCCACATGCCAGAAGTTCCCTTAACCTACTCCTCAGCATGAGCTGTCTGGAGCAAACATAAACTTCCCAGCTGGCCATACTGCTTGCAGGCAACTTTTAAAACATCTAAAAAGATTTGAAACTATCTCTGCTCCCTGTTGTTGGTGCAATGGGTAGTTGCATAGATCTATACGTCCATTATGTTATTACACAGACTGGCATAAGAGCTGATGAATGTGATACTGTTTTATTAATGTTCAACCTGGTTGTATTATTTTTGAGATGGTTTTGTGTTCAAGATTTATGTTTAATGAAGAAACTCTCCTTTTAAAATGGCGCTTGCTGTTTTGGTTTTGCAGAAGCACATGTTGGATCTTGTGTGACAGCATTTGGTAGGTGAGGCTAAGCGTGTCTCCCACTTTGGGTGGGGCAGTTGACCTTCTGACATGGTGGATTTGATAATTTGTGTGAGGAATCTGATAATTATTGATAGTTTCAAGCTCATATTTATACTTTTCATTCAAGTTTGTAAAGTATTAGTGTCCACTTCTCTGGATTACTAGATAATTTTGTGTTTACCTTACCTCTTTGTGTGTGTGAGTGTGTGTGTGTGTGTTGTATGAGTGCATACACGTGCATGTGTATGCATGTACACATGCAGACCACCAGAGGTTAATGTGCGGTATTTTCCTCAATCTCTATCCAATATATTTTTTGAGATAGGGTTTCTCACTGAAACTGAAACTCACTGGTTGGGTAGACTGGCTAGTCAGTGATTTCCGGGATTTGTGTCTCTGCCTCCCAGTGCTGAGTTTACAGATGCATGCTACTATGCATAGATTTTATGTGGGTACTGGGTATCCAAACTCAGGTCCTCTTGCTTGCACAGTGGGCACTTTACCAGCTGAGCCATCCCCCAAACTCCCTTAGGTCTGCTTTAATCTGTAACATTCCAAGTTAATGATTAGATTATATTCCAAGGAAGATGGATAATAGCCCTTTACCAACACTGGAAAAAGAAATAGTGAATAGAAATAGAAATAGCCATGCTTGGTGTTATATACCTGCAATCCTAGAATTCAGGAAGCTGAGTCAGGAGGGTTGAAAATTCAAGGCCAGCCTGATGAACATAGTTAGTTCCAGTCAATCTGAGGTTATACAGAGAGCCTGTGTCTTAAAACAAGGAAGCAGCTGGGTGTGGTGGCACACGCCTTTAATCCCAGCACTTGGGAGGCAGAGGCAGGTGGATCTCTGTGAGTTCAAGGCCAGCCTGGTCTACATAGTGAGGTCTAGGTACAAGGAGACCCTATCTCAAAAAGACAAAAAATATAAATAATAAATAAATAAATAAATAAATAAATGAACAAACAGGGAAGCAAGCAAACAGACAGACAGTAAATATATGTATTCTTGCTTCTATTATTAAGCTATAAGGAGGGACCTTATATATGACTATTTTTAATATTACCAAATGGATATACCTGAGAACAATTTGTATCTTGTACCATTTAGCTGAAATATTTACAATGAAATGATGTCTAGGATTTGCTTCCAGTAGTCTGGAAGATGAAAGAGTGGCTGGAGCATAGAGGAGACAAGATGGGTGATGAGTTGATAATTGGATTTTTTCTTTTGAGATAGGGTCTCATGTAGTTCAGGCTGAACTCAAACTTTCTTTTCTTAAAAAAAATCTTATATTTTTATTTTATGCATATGAGTGTTTTGACTACACATGTGTAAGTACACCCATGTTGTGCAATGCCCATGGAAATAAGAGGGCATCCAATCCCCTGGAACTGAAGTTACAGACAGTTGTTAGCCACCATGTGAGTGCTGGGAACTGAACGTGGGTCCTCTGCAATAGCAGCCAGTGCTCTTAACCACTGAGCCATCTCTCCAGCCCCTGAACTCAAACTTACTATTTGAGGGTGCCAAAGGTACCTTTGAAATCTTTTTCTTTCAGTTATTTATTTTTATGGGGCTTTTGGCTACTCTAACATTCCCCCCTCTGAAGAGGTAACCCTAAAATCTTTTAGGATTAGATAATAGCTACCAAATACTTTCAACATTTTTGGCTTTTGGAACAGAGTATGTTGCTAAGCGGCCCAAGGACATTTTGACTTTTAGCCAAGAAACTGGCTACTTTTCTTTGGGGTCGTTTCACGCTAACTGCCTAGCCAATTCCTACCTCCTATTCTTATCGCACCATCG